GATGTGGTGTGGTGTGGCGTGGTGTGATCTGGTGTGTTATAGTATAGTGTGGTGTGGTGTGGTGTGTTATAGTATGGTGTGGTGGGGTGTGGTGAGGTGTGGTGCGGTGTGGTGTCTTATTCCGTTATTCCTAATACTCCCCTGGCTCTTGTTGTTACAGGTGGTGTGGTGTGTTATAGTATGGTGTGGTGTGGTGCGGTGTGGTGTGGTGTGGTGTAATGTTTTTGTGGGTCTTATTCAGTTCTTCCTCATACTCCCCTGTCTCTTGTTGTTTCAGGTGGTGTGGTGTGATGCCAGTGATTCACAGCCGTGTCTGGGCACAGCCAGTACGTTTGTGTGGCACCTGACCGCCACCGGCAAGCTGTTCCATTCCGGATTTCCCACAAAGGTGTGTCAACAACAGACTGTAAACGTTTATCTATAGGCTGTAAAGGCCCTCGTTTATATAAACTTTGAAAACGTACTCGTGTATATAAAGGCTGTAAAGGTACTCGTTTATATAAACTTTGAGAACGTACTCGTTTATGTAAAGGCTGCAATGGTACTCGTTCATATGAACTTGGAAAACGTACTCGTTTATGTAAAGGCTGTAAAAATACACGTTTATATAAATTTAGAAAACGTACTCGGTTATGTAAAGGTTGTAAAGGCACTCGTTTATATAAACTTAGAAAACGTACTCGTTTATGTAAAAGCTGTAAAGATACTCGTTTATGTAAAAGCTGTAAAGATACTCGTTCATGTAAAAGCTGTAAAGATACTCGTTTATGTAAAAGTTGTAAAGATACTCGTTTATATAAACTAAGAAAACGTACTCGTTTATGTATAGGCTGTGAAGATGCTCGTTTATATAAATTTAGAAAACGTTCTGGTTTATGTAAAGGCTGTAAAGGTACTCGTTTATATAAACTTTGAAAACGTACTCGTTTATGTAAAGGCAGTAAAGTTACTCGTTTATATAAACTTTGAAAACGTACTCGTTTATGTAAGGACTTTAAAAATACTCGTTTATATAAAGGCCTGTAAAGATACTCGTTTATATAAACTTTGAAAACGTACTCGTTCGTGTAAAGGCCTGTAAAGATGCTCGTTTATATAAACTTTGAAAACGTACTCGTTTATGTAAAGACTTTAAAGATACTCGTTTATGTAAAGGCCTGTAAAGATTCTCGTTTATATAAACTTTGAAAACGTACTAGTTTATGTTAACTTTGAAAACGACTGTACTGTTAGAAACGAATGATGAGCTCAGCACTTGACTGCTCATGCGTGCGCCCTATGTACAGAGTTTGCTGGGGAGTCGCCCCATTTGCAGCACATGTGGGTTGCTATGGTTACTGTGTAGTGCTAGTTGTTCTGATGAGTCAACCTCTTTGCAGCACGTGTGCGTTGTTATGTCATGATAATGCCAAGATAATGTCATGATGATGTATAATGTCATGATAATGTCGTAATAATGTCATATTAATCCCTGCCTTCCTCTTCCCCACTGCCTCACCCCCCCCTCTCTCTCTCTCTCGTTCTGCCGTATGCCTCGTGTGCTGCGTAGACGGTGAATGCGGCTGAGTTGGCCATGGATGCAGTGCATGCCATGATAATGTCATAATAATGTCATATTAATCCCCTGCCTTCCTCTCCCCCATGACTCACCCCCCTCTCCTCATTCTCTTGCCCTGTGTCTCGTGTGGTGTGTAGACGGTGAATGCGGCTGAGTTGGCCATGGATGCTGTGCATGCCATGATAATGTCATAATAATGTCATATTAATCCCTGCCTTCCTCTCCCCCATGATTCACCCCCCTCTCCTCATTCTCTTGCCCTGTGTCTCGTGTGGTGCGTAGACGGTGAATGCGGCTGAGTTGGCCATGGATGCTGTGCATGCCATGCAGGACCACTTCTACAGCTCATTCCCACCCCACGCCAGAGAAAACGACTTCAAATTCGATTCGCCGTCGTCGTTCAAGCCCACACAGGTGAGCCGCAGGGTTTAGGGTTTAAGGTTTTTGTTCTCTGATTGGTGTTCGTATCGAAATATGCTATATGGTGGGGTGGGGTGTTCATTTGTGTGTGTGTGTGTGTGTGTGGTGATCATAAGTGTGTGTATGTGTGTGTGATTTTCGTGGTTGTGTATTGTTGTAGGCTGCCAACCTAAACCCACAGTTTCACTCCATCCGCCCCATCAACCACACCCCATTACCCATGCACCAGTACTCATGCAAGTACATTCATATATGCATGTACATTCATATATGCATGTACATTCATATATGCATGTACATTCATGTATGTATGTACATTCATATATGCATATACATTCATGTATGTATGTACATTCATGTATGCATGTACATTCATATATGCATGTACATTCATATATGCATGTACATTCATATGGGGACGTATGCAATGCTCATATGTAGCTCATAATACACACGTGTTGCCCACTAGCTGTGTGCAGGTGAATCGCACGTGCTGTGCATGATGCATGTGTGCCTCCATCCTTTTGTCTCCATTGCACCAATGATCTATGTTATATGGAAGTGTAAGCCACCCCTCAACCACTGTGTATAAGCCACTCCCTCAACCACTTTGTATAAGCCACCCCTTCAACCACTGTGTGTCTTTGTGTACTGTCTGCGCAGATGTCACTGCCTGGCCATGGTAGCTTTAATCAGATGCCGGCTGTGGCGAAAATCTCTGGCGATTGCCGACTGACGCCATTCTATGAAGTGGAGGAGGTGATGCACAACATGAAGACATACGTCGAAGAACTCAACAAGTAGGTCCTACTGTGGTCTGTATATATATATATATATATATATATAGCATTCACCTGTGCTTATTAAGTAGCTCCTACTGTGGGCTGTGTGTGTGTGTTTATAGCATTCACCTGTGCTTATTAAGTAGGTGCTACTGTGAGCTGCGTGTGTGTATATATATATATAGCATTCACCTGTGCTTATTAAGTAGGTGCTACTGTGGGCTGTGTATATATACATATATATATATATATAGCATTCACCTGTGCTTATTAAGTAGATGCTACTCTGGGCTTTATATGTATATATATATATATATATATATAT